AACTGGAACAGCTTTTGTTTATGAAGAGCCAGCAAAGAATGCTCTTTGCAACATCACTGGATTACGTAGTTTGTCATGAATTTGGGAATCTTATTTTGTTCAACAATAACATTTTAGAAGCGAGACAGCATAGTGCAGTGCCTGGCACAAGCTCCCTCCGGAGGCATGGGAGCTGGGTTGGGTTTCCCTCAGCCTCTGTGACCTGAAAGGCCCAGTCAGCGGGGTCTAGAGTCACCCTCGCCGTCCTCACAGTTGCCAGCGCTTCAGGCTTGGAAGCCCTGTTGGCTAGAGCTGGTCTACCCACCTGACCATCAGCTCTCACCTGGACTGACGATTGCTTCACCTCCAGGAGGGATGGAAGCCATGGCATGATACATCTCATTCTCCATCTTAAAACATGTCACTGTGCTAGGGAACCACAACCTCATGTCCGTATTTCCCCACCTCGAGGGGGCGTGGAGGCAGCAGATAAAATAAAAGGAAAAAAATCCATCCAGGAAAACACTCATTCAAATCGCCCGTGCATCCCTGGCCACATGCTGCAGTGTGATGCTAACTTAATTCTGCTTTCTTTCTTTTTTTTTTGGCCTCTTCTCAGGGTTATAATACAGTCTAGTACATAAATTCACCACAACAATCTCTTTTGTGACTAGCTGGCCACAGTTGGTTCCTCCTAGGCCTGCACAAAGTAGCAATGTATCCAAGGGTTTTGCGGTAACAATGTTTCACTTTTTAGAGACGGTTCTAATAGCAAATCCACTAATGCTATTCCCAGAGCTCTTTTACAGGGAGCTGCTTGGAACCTGGTCCATGAAATAGTGATAGAGGGTCAGGTCCCAGGCAGCTGGCACCTGGGGCAAAGTCAAGCATTTATAGAGTGATTTCACACTAGTTCCCCTCTAGCCTTGCCATGGAAATGTGCACTATCCCAGAATGGTTAAGACAGACTCGCATTTGAGCCTTGGCTGAGCTACTTATACTTAGTAGCTGTGTAATCTTGGCCAAGTTACTTAACTTCCAAACCTCAATATCCTAGGTCAGCGATTTCAACCTTTTTTATCTCATGGCACACCCAAACTGATTATTAAAATTCTGCGGCACACCAAAAAATATTATGTATTTTTGCCGATCTGACAAAAAAAAAAATAGGTACAATTTTGATTCATTCACACTGGACAGCTATTGTATTGGCTATTGTATTTTTTATTTGACAGCCTTGGGGAAAAGAGGTCAGTGAGCCTGAGTAAATAGGTATTGTGTTCTAAAAATTCTGGAGACACACAAGTTGAAAATGGCTCTCCTAGATGTTAGAAGTCCAGGGGCCAATTTTGGCCCTGCCACCGACAGGTCTGGGATGGGAAGGCTGTGCGGGGGGATCTGAGAGGCACTAACAAGCTCTGTGATTTCATGGCCCCTTCTGATTCCACTGAGAAACAAACTTAGCTGAGTATGTCCTCTCGCTCAAGACAGTACACATCTAGAAATGCCCACTCCTTTCGGTTTTCAGAAGGTTCGTTTCAGACAAGGCCTCACTGGTGGCAGCTAGTGGTCAACTGCCTCTTCTTTTCTGACCAGTGTCTGGGACGGCGCTGTGGCACGAGGGCGGACTGGTGCTGGTCGTGCCTGGGCCGCGCTGAGGAATGGTGTCCCAGGCCTCCCAGAACCATCTGGAGAGAAGGCAGAGATGAGGCTTCATCCTGTCCTTCCCTTTGCCCCTTTGCCCTTTGCCCTGCAGCCTTCCTTGTTCACAGGCCTCATTGGCGTGTGTGTAGGTGTAAGTCAAAGGCACCCAGCTGGAGAAGGTCAGGGGAGGTGTGAGGATGAGGAGTGGAGAAGAAGAGAGGAAGGTCGGTGACAGTAGGTCCCCACGGAGAGAGGGCCTTATCATAAGCATCATCGTAACTGAAATGCCCCTAGGTCTGGCCAAACCTGAGAGAGACGGGACAAAACCCCAAGTGAGATGCCAGGGAAGCCGGAAGCTGTCCGGGTGTCCCTCACTCAGGCTCTGAGTGCCTGGCCTGGGGCCAGCCTGTGACTGTCTGGCTGGGAACAAGCTAGGGAGTGCAGCTTCAGATAAGCGGCCATGGCTCCCGCGGTCCCCTGGGAAGGGCTGAGCTGTGGGCTGAGCGGCCTGGACGATGAGGAAAAGAGTGGATGGTTCTGAGATTGCGGAATGAAAGACTGAGAAGCTGCCAAAGTTTGAGTGCGACAGTGTTTAATTGCAGAGGTGCTTCTGGCTGAGGGATGTCCCCAGGAACAAAGAATCTGTTGGGCAAGAGCATAGAAGAGGTTTTGTTTTCCAAAACCAGAACCTGCCCCCAAGCTCTCAGAACAGGCCTGATAAGAGCTCTCTGCTGATTGGCTGAGAGAGAACATCTGTGTTTTCCTCTCAGTTTTTTCCACCCCAGGAAAAGGGAAGGGCCCCCGGCCACACTCTTCCACGGCCAGGTGCTTGTCTCAGCTGGCAACGCCTGGTGTGCCAGTTCAGTGGTCAGATGGGTCACAAGGAGTCTATTACTAACACTTGGTACCAACATTTGGGAGGGCTTTACTTTAAAAAAAAAAAAAAAAGGTAAATTGTAGTGTATTTACGTTTTCACCATAGTAAAACCATTGCCATTCCCTCCCATGCAGGTGTGTTATCCTAAGTGGGGGAGAAAGGGTCTAGGTGTGTGCAGGAGCCTTGGCATGCACAAGCCCACTCTGGACTGACCGTGAGGCAGCAGGGGAACCAAATCACTTGTGGTGCCAGGAGTAGGGCCACGTGCCTGGGTCTTTGCATGGACTCATCTGTGTCAGGGGCCCATAGTAACTCGGTTTCCTAACTCCCAAATCCACCTGGTAAACTCACACAGATCCTTAAAGATGCAACACTGAAGTCCCCACCTCTGTGCAACTTCCCCTTCTGCTCCAGGCAGACTCAGTCATGCCACCTAGTGTCCCCACAGCACTCGCGTGCCCTCTAAGGGACACGGAGCACACTGTGCTATCACCACAGTGACTGCACAGCCCAGGATTTCTCTGTGTTCCTGACCTCAGGTACTTGGTTATGCTGGTCCCATCAGTTCTCACAATGTTCTGGAAATTTTGACCTTGACGGATACTTTGAGAGAAATCCTCTGTCAGACCTGATGTGCTGATCGTATGGGGTGGACTGGTGGGTATCAGGTGGGTCCCAGTGCATCCATGCATCTGCCACCTCCCCCAGACTGAGTTCCTGGAGGTCCAGGACCATAGGTTTCACCTGCTTGCCTAGTCTGCTCTGTGACCAGCACAGAGAAGGGGCTCTGCCATTGTTGCTGCCCCACAAGACATAGTATCACATATGCCTGACTGCACTGAGTTTCCATAACGAGCTTGCGATATTATGACTCTTGTCCCCACTTTACAGAGGAGAAAATTGAGGCCCAGAGCTAAGCAGCTAATAAGGGGTGGATACAAACCTAGGTCTTCATTCCCTCTGTATCTGTCAGCTCAGTTCAAGCTGAGCAATGTCCTGAAATTGTGGAGTCAGAAACCAGAGGTGCTCAGGTGAGGGGAGATCTATTTGTTATCTACTGAGGTCAGCCTGACTCCTGTCAGGATTATAACAACTTTCAACTGAGCCTTTATTTGGTGCCCAAAGATGTGTTAGCACGCTCTGCCCTCTCTTCTGGAGCTTCTGATTTAGAATGGACACGTGTACCGCTGACCGTGTGTCTGTATGCTGTAGATCAGCTAGAGTGCCCCAGCTAAAAAGGGACTATTGATTTATTTCAGTCTCCTTGTTTTAAGATGAAGAGACCAAGACCAAAGGCCTGTGTTCTCAACCTGCACAGCCAGAGGGGGCTTTCCTGCCAGGTGCTGTGGCCGCTGCTCCGCCCGCACCCGTGCACCGCCAACAGTGCTGTCCTGGCCTTCCGTAGGCCGCCCTCCTGTGCTCAGGCCAGCCCCTCTCTGGAATTAGTAAGAAGCGGCTCTTCCCAGTCGTAATGGCTATTTTCAGAAGTGTGAAATAAGTGTAAAATAGGATAGTTTCAGTAAAAATATCTCCCTGCTTATACAGTGAGGTGGTACCAAAATCACTGACTTTGAGCAGATATGGGGTTAGGTTTTGCAAAGATGAATCTGGTTCTCAAATGACAGCCACTTGGAAGGTTCACAGGGTCCTGGGTGAAGGACAGACAGCCTGAGCTAGGGAGCTGGGCTCCCTCAGTGAGGATTCCCAGAGCCCTAGAGGGTAGAGCAGTCAGCACCAGATTTAAAGGTAAAGGCCTAAAGCCAAATCCAGCCTGAGGATCCCAACCCTGTGAGCAAGTTTCTTATCATCTCAGTGTATCTACCACAAGGAGCTATAGGGGTTAATAACGTAACATACGTTCAAGCGTCCAGTGCCAATATCTTGGACAAGCTTCAAGACTTACCAGCATTTCCATTCCTCCCCATAATGATATTCTGAGAATTATTATATTTTAAGATGAAATGTGTATTTAAGAGTCTATGAAGTCATCACTGAAAGTTCTAGACAGCAGCGGACTCTAGGAAATGTGTGGGCTTGAGAAAGTAACCCTTCCCACCCCCAGCCCCTACAATGTGTTTCTCATACTTTTAATGTGAACACACTTTTTCCTTTGGCCTGTTGTTTCTTCAGTGGGCACTTACCAAATGCCATTTCTGTGCCAGGCACAGTGCTAGAGCTTGCAGGCGAGACAGCCTACTTGCCAACACAGCACATCGAGTGCAGAGCCCAGAAAACTACAGGTTTGGGTTCTTTCCCATCAGAGGCCAGAGCACATGTTCTGCTCTGACACTTCCCCTGTTTCCCGCGTCTACCTGGAGCATCCATCTAAGGAATGTGGTCCCCCTTGCACCCCACCTGCTCCAGCAGCTTGACCCAAGGGATTGCTGGGGGATTGTGCAGGTCTGCTGGCCCAGCTTCAACGTGCTGTGGCTTTTCCCCAGCTCTTGGCCACAGCCAAGGGAAGCCTGGGGCCTGGAGCCAGCTCCCAGAAGGAACTTACCCGATGGCTTGTCTGTGGAAGACGGGAGGTTGGTGAGGGTGGGCATGGTGGGCAGAGGGGGCGGCAGCACCTTCAGGTTCTGATCACTCTGGATCTCATTGGTGGAAAACTGATTGATGATGCGGTTGTAGGGGGACGGCTGGTAGATCTGGGGTGGAGTAGCGGGGGGCGGCTGGGGCATGGGTCTGGCCGCCGGCACCCGCTGGCAGTGCTCCTCGAGCTGTGCGATGATCTCCGATTGGTTGTGGGCCAGTGTGGCCAGGTGCTGGTACTTGTGCTCCAGGTCCTTGTACTTGCTGGCCAGCTGCAGCATGTCGGCTGTCTGGTTGAGGATGCGGTTCTCCAGCTGGGAGAGCTCCAGTGCATTGTCCCGCTTGCGGATGATCTCGTGCAGGAGCTGCATGTAGAGCTGCGTGACCCGTGAGTTCATATTGCGGCTCTCCTTGCGCAGCAGCTTCACCTCGCTCACGATGCCGCCGTCCACCTCCACTAGCTGCTGCAGTGTCTCAATCTGCCGTTTCTGCTTGAGCAGCTCGTTGTTGAGCAGCTCTAGCTCCTGCTTGTGCACACGGTTCTCCAGGAGCACTTCGGGCTCCTTGGAGTTGACGCAGATGGCACCTGTGACCCGTTGCTGGGGCACAATGAAGGTATAGGTGCACTTGTCCGGGGACTCGCCAGCCCGCTTGTACCTGTTCAGATAAATGAACTCACTTGGCGAGCCCTCTTCTGTGCCTTCTAACCCATCCTTCTGGCCAGCAGCAGCTCCCGAGGCAGCCAGCAGTCCCAGCCACCAGCATGTCACACATAGCGCCCTCATGGTTCTTGCAAAATGGTGGTTTTTCTTTGCGAACAGAGCCTATGAAAACCTGAAAGTAAACAGAAGGGGAGACTCAGTAACAGTCCTGTCACTGCCAGTGGCCTGTGCCATAAATGAGCTCAGCCTTCTCCCCAGGCAGATCTTTCCAAACGCACAGCTCCAGGAGGCAGACCTTCTGGAAGCAACAGAAGGAGACAGGCAGGCCCCAGCTGAGACAGAAAGGAAAAGGGATGAGACTGGGGCATCTGAAAGCAGGAGCCCACAGCCCTGCTGTTCCTGGAGCCAGTTCCAGTGCCCATAGCCTGAGAACCTCGTGAGGGCAGGTTGAAGCTGGGAGGGAAGGCGGAGGAGGGGTTGTCCTCTCTGCCTTCTCCTCTGCCTCACAGCCCTCAGACCATGAAGTCTCCTCATTCTACATGTTCATAACCCCCAGACTTTCCCTTTACAACACCGATCACAGTTTTGAGGAATTAGAATTACTTGGGGTTCCTTCTGCTGAACTCCACGTTGCATGAGGGCAGGCACTGAGTCCATCCTTTATCCCAAGGATGCTGCACTAAGTGGGCTTTCAGCAAATATTTGTTACATGAATGAATTGCTAGATGTAGTATGGCATGTGTTCAGTTTTTAGTGGACAATGTGAATGGAAGGATGTGTCCAGTCCCATGGCTTTGGCCGTGTGTTAGTCACGCTGCAGAGCCCAAACCGGAAAAAAACAACTGAACTCCTAGAAATCCAGATATTTGCCACAGACAGTAACTGCACGGTCCCAATCATTGCAACGTGATTGACCCAGGCGGGAGCAGAAAGGAGACATGTGTCTTTGGAGTAGTTTCAGTTCTATTCTTGGACCATTCATACCTTCCCCAGTTATCCATCGAACATCTATGTGCCAGGCAGTGTGCCGGCTGCCGGAGACACCATTGCACATGGGACAGAGCCTGCCTCTGCCCTCACGGGGCTTACCCATCATTACACAGTCTCTAAGTGCTGGGAGGGGGAAGTAGCATGTGCTTTGAAAGAGTGTAACAGGGAATTGACCTCGTCGGAGAGGTCAGGAAAGCTTCCCTGAGAAAGTGACCTATACGCTGACCCTTGGGGGATGAGTTAGGCCAAGAGGGAGGGGACGGACATGCCCAGATCCCTCCTCTTGCCTTCTCAAGGACATTGCTCCAGCAATTCCCCCATTTCTTCCGTGTGATCACATTTTCCCAACAATCATGCTGTCATTTCTCTCAACTTAAAGAATATCCTCTCTTGACCTCACATCCCCTCTCCAGCTACTGTTCCATTTCTCTGCTCCCCTTTTTAGCAGAATCCTTCATCAAGTTTGCTGTGCTCAGTCTTTACTCCCAAATTTATTTCTCTAGCCTAGACCTCACCGTTTGACTCCAGACTCATATATCCAAATAAGACAATTCACTCGCCTATCGCTGGGCACCTCAAACTTAAATGATCCAGAAATGAACTCCTCATGTTCCCCACAGCTCCATCCCAACTCGTGTTCATCCCAGTGCTTCCTATTGTAAACGGCAACTTCGTTCTTCTAGTTGCTCAGGCCAAAAACCTTGGAGTCATCCTTCCTTTCTTTCATACCGCACATCTGATTCACCACCAAATTGTAATAGCAGTATCGTGGAAGCATCCCTCGAATCCTACTGCTTCTCCCACCTCGCCCGCACCCTGGTGCGCCCCACCTCACCTCTCACCTGGACCTAGCTGGTCGCCCTGCTCCTGCGCTTGCCTGCTACAGCCTGTCCTCATCCCAGCACCCAGAGCAGATGATTCTTTTGTAAAAGTCAAATCGGGTCACTCTTCTACCCAAAAGCCTCTTGTGGCTGCTCATCTTGGAGAAAAAGCTAACGGGTCTCTAAGGCCCTCTTCATCTGGTCCCACTTCGTCCCTGACCTCATCTCAGACACCTCTCCTGCTCGTCACGCTACTGCAGCTGCACTGTCTCCTCGAGTCCTCAGGCTCACCAGGCACACCTATGACTCAGGGCCTTTACACCTGCTGCTTCAGGTCTACAACACTCTCCTCATTGCTCGCTGCCTGGCTTCTTTCAGGCCTTTGCTGAAATGTCACCTTCCCAGTGAGGTCCTCCCGGCTTACTTGACTTGTGATCTCACCATCTTTCCCTCAGGTGTCCTCATCACCATCACACAGTGTCTCCTTCCCCACCCCTGTGAATGTAAGCTCCATGGGGGTGGGAGGAGGTGTGTTTTGATCTCTGCTCCATCCAAGGTGCCTTGGCATGGCCTGGAATAATACTAGGAGTTCAACAAGTATTTGTGGATGGAAAGAAAAGACACGCCCACCAACAGCTGCAGGCAGTGGCCAGGCTATGGTAGGGACTCTGAGCAGGGAAGTGATTGCCTGAGGGGGACCATTGCACAGGAGACCATTTATTATATTTATTCATATCTTTTATAACATCCACTTACTGAGTGCCCACTAGGTACCTGAACCAGCACTGAACATTTTGCACCTGCTTTCTACTTTATCCAATTCTCACAATGTCTGTTTAAAGTGGATACTGTTGTTATATTCATTTTAAAGATGAGGAGACTGAGACTCAGAGAGGCTAAGTGACTTGCCAAAGATCACACAGTCCTGGCTGAACCAGGACTCAGCCCTGGCCTGATGTACTTAAAACTGTTGACGTAGGAAACATCCAGATCTCTAGAGAATTTTTATACGTTGCTAAACTGACAATTGCTGAGAAGCAGAATCTCAAGAGGCTGAGAAAATTCTCTGGAGAATGGCAGTTTTGCAGCTTATTTTATACATTAGAATAAAAGGAGATGTAAGGAGAGTTGCATGAAATCCATGGGTGGTAGACTAGTGGGGAGGGAGAAACAATCTCTGGGATTGGATAAGAAGGCAAACTAGAGAGACACCTACTTCTGTTCCATTGGTGGGCACAGGATAGGTAATAAACACTTATAGCACATAGAGATGGTATGTGGGGACAAGAAAACCAGAGATTCTGTAATCTAGTGCCCAGGGTTGTGCCTTGAGGGGACTGGAAAAGAAGATTACTCTACATTTCAAAAGTGTTATTTTAGGGGCAAAAAGACAATAGACAGGCTCGCTTAAGGTAAAGCTCAACCTCGGTCAAGCGGAGGATATGCCTCCCCGCCACCACTCTCTCTCTGTGAGGAGTTTTTACATCTAGACCATCCTATGTGGTTAGTTACTGTTGGTCTCAGTTTGTCAGGCCGCCTTGCAGGCCTCTCATGAGCTTGTCAGGTTTTGTATGTAGGCCTCTTTTTGTCCACAAACCTTCAGACTCTTAATGATTACACAGAAATGCACTTAATCTAGTTTTAGTAGTAAAAACACATTAGCACCATTTTTTCTGGTTTCACATTAATTTATGCTAAAATAACCACAACACAGGGCCTGAAGGTCTTGTCTTCCCAGGCCCCCTATGGGAGGGTCTCCTGTGAGCAGCCTGGGTCCAGGCTCCACCTGTGACAGCCAGTGGGCAGTTACAAACAGACCCTGCGCTCGCCAGGGCCGCGCTAAGCTGTTCTCTGCTGAAATGCCAAAGCCCAAGCCTAGTTCCAGTGCCCAGCTCTGGCCCTTCAGGCCAGGCAAAGAAAGGTGTTTGGGAGCCTCTGGTGTGGGCGGGGCTATGAGGTAGGGCTGCAGTGACAGGAATGGAAACCGGGCTGAGTTTGTGAGTGTTTGCCTGGTTTCCAACACACGTTGGCTGCTCCCGTGCAAGCAGCCACGCCCGGCCCGGAACAATGGGAAGGAGCCGCCTCCCTGCTTGGATGGGCCTGCTCATTGCCTCCCAGGGCTGCTCACCTGTCCGCACAGCTGGTGACAAACACCTCTGTGTGCTGTGCTGCCGGCAGCCTGGGCCTCCGCATGGCCAAGACACCACCAGAGGCCCAGGGAGGCAATGTGACTGCAGGAAAGGGTTGACTTCCAAACCTTCCCAGGCAGAACCCGAGACTAGGCAGGGACACACTGTTTATCACTGAGTTCTGCTCCTTCCCGAGCGTGGGCTCTCACGGCTTCCCGGGAAGAGCTGTGCCCCTGGATGTGGGCTCCTGAAGGCTGAGCCTCTTCTGTGAAATGGGGTGACCCAGCCCACCTTGTGCACAGGGACATGGAAGTGCTTCTGAGACTAGAGATGGACTAACATGACAGTGGCATTGTAACAAGGGTAACAGCTGGCTGAGGGAGGAGGGCTGGCCACGTGCAGACAGTGTGTCCAGCATTTTTGCCATCTCCTTGAACCCCTCCCCTCACCCCGAGGAGATACCAGAATTAATTATCCCATTTCATAGAGGAGGGACTTGTCCTGTCTCACAAAGCTGGGCTCTGACCAGGAGGTCTGGGTGGCCTCACCGCCCAGCCCTGAAGCAGTCGCTGGTCGGACTGAGTCCTGGCTGTCTTGGTGTCCCTAGCATATCACACAGTACTGGGCGCAGAGTGGGGAAGTAAGAGGCATGCAAACACCATCAATGCTTTCTGCAAAGAGCATTTCTGAGATCGTTCACTTAAAAAGTGAGCCAAACTTGACAGTTAACACTGGTACAGACATTTAGGTTCCCAGAGCCCTTCACGTACACATGATCTCATTCCATCACTACAACATTCCGAGCGAGTTGGCAGCAGTATGCTGTTTAGAGGGTGAGGACACTGAGGCTCAAAAAGGTGTCTTGCCCAAGGTCACATTGTGAGTGGTGGGACCAGTCGTGAAACTGCCAGTTCTGGGTCTTCCATTACATTTCCATGGAGTCCGGGTTTGGCGGGAGTGACCTGGAGCTGCTTGGGTTACAAGGAAGGGAAGGAACAGGGCTCCTGACATACATCGTTCCAGGTAATTCAGTGAGGTTGCTATAAATGGGGACACAGAAACCCAGATAGGCTACGTGACCGTCCCAGGAGCACGGGGCAGCCTGACACCAAGAGCTGCCCTCAGCCTTGGACGCGTTCATTTTTCTGAAAGAGTCCAACCCCCTCCTCAGTTGTTCCCTAGTTTGGCAGTTTTTAATGGGTAGTAATGAGTTTGTTTACTTTTGCTCTCTT